ACACACACACACACACACACACACACACACACACACACACACACACACACATACACACACACATACACACACACAAACAAACAAAACAAAACAAACAAATGAACACAAAAACGAACAAGGTGTTTTTACAACAATCAAATCAAGCTTCATTGTACTTCAAAAAGTAGCAACGATAAACATTAATCAAATTTCCATTTTTACAACAATGGAGAGGAGCGCCTGATGAACACGACACAATTATAAAATATAGTTATGCATGTTTTAAAGAAAAATAATATACTCTGTCACATTTTATAGTATACACTGTGTTAAAATGAAAATAGCTAGTTTCACAACGAGCCGATATTCTTCAAACTTTCAGGAATACAAATTCAATCAATGTTATAAACGAAAAAAAACAACAACAACAATACCAAAAGTTAACATAACAGGTTTATTCCCGACTCACTTGAGTGTGGGGTTGGTCTACGAAAGTAACACGATCAGCAGTGCGTATGATGTCCTTTTGTTTTGATGACGGCCTGACATCGTCACCGCATGGAATCAATCATTCACTGCACTGCAATGCTCTCTCTAACTGAGGAAGTGTCTGAGGCTGGTGTTGTCGCTTGTTTTTCAACTCATCTCTGGTTTGTCTTGCTGTTTTGAAACGATTCCTTAGATGCGACAGGCGCATAAAAAGATCCCCTCTTGGAGTAGTTTTTATTTTTCAAGTCGACGGGGTCGATCATCTTTGTGATTCTGTTGTCCTCTCATGATCCATTGCTGCGCATACAGGTCTTCTTGTTACATTGAAATATCTCGCAACAGCAGTGGATACTGAGACACCCCTGCGGATCATTCCAACAAGCTGATTTCGTACATTTTCTCTTATGCGTGGCATTGTGAAACTTAGATAATGCACGTTTTTTTTTATCTCTGGTGAAATGTTGCAAAAATGACAAAGCTTTGATGTGTACTTTTTTTTAAAAACAAATCATTTCCGTGGATTGAGATATTCTTAAAAAGCACAAAACATGTAACACGCATGACGTAACAAAACCTCTCGCAAGTCCAGAAATCTGAAAACAGCTCACCAGCCACAGGTGTATCCGTAGTCCGTGTGTAAATTTGGAAGTTATTGGTAACATTGATTTTTTAAAATTGAGCTTTATGATGTGTATACTTAAAAATGTGACAGAGTATAGTACATGTATACGGCGAATAAAATAAATTAAAATTCACAAAATGAGCGCAAAGAACAAACCGCCGTTTGTATTCATAAACGTTGAAATTGCTCATATTAAAATGGCTGGCACTTGTATACATTCACCTGTTAACTGACATTTGAAAGCATTCAAATAATTAACGCCACTCAGTTTATAAATGATAAGCTGAACAGTGATATCTGGTACTGCTACATTATATTCAGTTAACTTAGGTATCAGCTTACAATCATGATCATCAAGTTTCAGATCTGCGACAGTCATTGGTGATCATGGTTTTCCATTGATTCCTTAGCTCGGACATTATCCTGATCTTCCCCTGTCACCCTACTGTTTAGGTTATCCAAGTAGGTTGCTCAAGAATAGGCCTACCCCTGCCTCGTTTGCCTTAAGAAGGATTCAATTATATTTCTAGATATCACAGTGCCCAGCCACATTTTGTTTTGGTTTAAGAGATACAGTGTACTGACATTTTAAATTTGAATGTTCTATCTGGGGCGAGAAAGTTAATCATGTGGCAGAGCATCATAAGAGACATGGAAATCCATTCTAGTGTATGGCGTCAGTTCCTACAAATGCTTATATTTTTGGATGCTTGTTGGGATTAAGTGGGACAGGACCTCGAATGAAAAAAGTTGACTCTCCATGTTTTGTAGAAACGGTTCCCAGTAATTCGCAAAACTCAGTTTAAAAGTTAGCTCACCGGTTGATTCATAATGCAGAGCCTTGATGCCAACAACTGGATCACCAGGCCTGATCGATCTGAGGGCATGATATGTTGCTGAAATGTTCAAATAAAAAATGTGTGTTCCAGGTATTTAACCTTACGCAGCTTTGGGTTCTACCTTGCAGATTCCATTATTTTGACATAATCAGCTTGTCTTCCAATTGCTCTTTGGATTGTGCTGTGAACATTGTCGACTCGCATCTGTGTATGCCCTTTTGTAAGGATTTTCTGTTCAATTATTTTCCGTGCTGTTGAAAAACATGAGTTAGTGTTTTACTCGCGATAACATTTCAATTTTGATAGTTGCTACCATCAGTCCATAGAATACATTTGTTTTATCGTGTGTCAAATAGTGGTGCACACACGACGCAGATTCGATTGATGTCGAGGAGTCCGAATCTTGTGTAGTACGTTTGGAGACGGCTTTCCTGTGTGTCATTGCAGACACAGAATGTTGTTTCTGAGCCCAATTCCTTTTCAACACTTTGTCAGACCATCCAAGCATGTGGTGAAACTGGAATAACTTGGCTCACAAAAATCTTCCAGAAAGCATAGTTCCCGGCGACTGGCAAAAAGCGGTCATAGTACCAATCTGGAAGAAGAAAGGCAGTAAGAGAAACTGTGGAATGTATAGAGGCATTTCGCTGCTAAGCCACGCGGGCAAGATGTTGGCCAACATATTGGAATGGCGAATAAGACACAAAGATGAACCTTTTCTGAGTGAGGCCCAAATTGGATTTAGAAAGGGAAGAGGATGCACAGACACAATATAATTTGCCCTACGAGAAATGTGTGAAAGAACACAACAGAGAACTAAATATAGTATTTATCGACCAGGAGAAAGCGTTCGACAAAGTGAACAGAAACAAGCTGTGGAAAGAACTAGAAAACTACACTGTAAGAGGCCAACTTCTAGATAACATCCGTGCCATTTACGAGAACAGCATAAGTACAGTAAGAACGTCAGAGGGACTCACAGAATGGTTCGAGAAAACATCCAAAGTAAGACAAGGTTGTGTCCTATCACCACTACTATTTATCATATATATTTCCCCGCCGATCAATATCAGTCATATATATGAAGGAAATTTCAAAACTGAGTTAACATTATTTTTTAAAACCATCACCTTTTCCCTACAATTAAAAACACGAATGAAGTAAATATGACCACTTGGACGAAAATACAGAACTTTTTATTGTTCGAGGTGAGGAAACACGAATAGGAGAAAATGGCTTCCGAAGTTGGGCAACACGTTTCCATAGCAATAGGGGTCTTACAATTGAGATAGAGACTTGGTATTTGGCAGTTATCTTGGCTATGCCACTGCAAGGTAACATACAGAAGAAGATAACTATTCATTCACAGCGAAAAACCTTATGGACAAAACAGAAATTTCACAAGAATGGACTCCACGGCAAATGCAACAAAATATTAGCATTATAGGCCCTATAAGTACCAGATACTAAATTTTCAAAGTAGCTGCATGTCAAATTCATCTGTTTCATAATATGAAAGGCCTATGTCTCCTGAAAATTTTGGTGCCATACTTTTCCCTCTCAGTCAGTGTTTAAGAGAATGGCAGCTGTTTCAATTAAACATAATATTGCTGAAGTCGCTAACTGACTGCAGCCCCATGTTTGACAGCTAATAAAAGAGTACCAAGTGCACCAAACATCTCTACATTAACAGAATACAATCATTATAACAAAGAAATGAAGCCTATTTTTTCAAGACTGTGAGATCATTACAAAACAGTATTTTATTACCTCAAACAC